TGCAAATTTCACAGAAATCTTAATAGGAAGTATGCAAAAGGATGCACGCAGGCCAGAAGAGGTTTTTTAAAATTCAACCAGATACGCTGGAAAATCGTGGGGTTTTAAAAAATATTATTTCCCCAGCCTGAATCATAAGCATGAGATTTTACCTATACTGCAAGCACTGTCATTATCATCACATTCCCTACTTCCACCCTCCGCAATTACCTACTTCACCTACCGACATCGCGTACTATTACATACAATCTCCTAGGTGTCAGTTAAGGAATATCTCACTTATTTGTTGCATGACATTTTCTAAAGGAAAACAGAGACAATATATGGCTACTTTAAATAATATCAAATAATAACTTTGGGTAATTAATTATGCTCTTTTTTTTCTTTTTACTACTACAAAACTTTCATAAATGCTTTACAACAGGTTCTGCACACCACTAGACATGAGTATAAGATGGATCACAAATCCAGCGGGGAAGGTATACATTTTTGCCTCACCTTAACTCAATGTACCTGTAAATTAAATTGGGTAAAATGTTTATCTCATTTGAATGGGACAAGTCACACACAAGACTATTACTTCGCAACACAGCAATGCAATGAAACATTCCAAGGTGGTAAGACAGGGTATGAACCTTAAAATGGTTCTTCCACAGCTCTGCATGCACTCACTGACAAAGAACTTAGTCTTTATTTATAAACCTCATGCTTTCCCCCTAGGTAAGTAGCTTTCTGACATTCTCACTAGCATTTAAGTGAAATCCATCTCACATGCCAGAATCATGAATTTTTCATGGAATAGGTGGGAAGTATTATCACAGAAGTAAAATAACGGTACCGTAATAATCCCAAATCATTAACATATTTCAGTGTGCAAACATCTCACCACACACATTCACTGCAATATTTTCTTCGCCATGGTTGCTAGCATCCTAACTTCCCAAAGGGTTACATGATGCTTTGAACTTCTGACACGCGTTCAGAGGAACTGCGTACGTCCTGACACGAGAAAACACAAGTTTTAAGACTTGTTTTCAGATATGTTTTTAGTATGTTCCTGGCAACTGTCCCACCATACCCCCATCTTTCAGTAATACACCTCAGATCAAACACAAATTTGCTGACTGTCTATTGGCAAAGACATAGAAACCCATGTGTGACTGCAGGCACAGTGCGAAGAGTTCCGCTGAAAAATTAAAGGCAGGTGCTTCAGTTTCTAACGCAGGGCGTGAATCTGTCCTCGGGGTTGAAAACAGATGCCGTACATCTGGAGCTGTATGTTCTAATAAAAGCAAAGACCTGATACTGTGAAGAACAGTAATTTCAAAAACAAAGATCTTGTATGTTGGATTCTAAGTCTCATTTTATTCGACAGCTTTTATAACTAGTCTAACTTTCCTAACTTCCCCTCTTAGCGATACTCCTGATTTTAGACTGATGTAAGTAAGATCAATTGCCCATGACTAATTCAATATTTTTTCATCCCTTAGAGACCCATTCCATTGGACACCCTATTTTTTTTTCTACTGTTATAGAAATCGCAATTCACTTCTGCCACTCAAATTTTACCTGCAGGAAAGTCAATCTATTTCTCATCAATTAATAAAGACTGTTACTTACGGCTTTATCTAGAGTTCCAATTTCTTATTTTTCATAAGGCTTTTGAACTTGCAATTTTTATAGAAAGAGTTTCATAAAAGTCTCAGGTCATCCGTGTTAACAAAGGAATTGTCCAGAAGCAGCATCCTGTACATGCTATGAAGAAAGGGGGCTCATCGATGGTAAGCCTAAGCACATGCTTGCTTCCCCGCGCTACTGCAAAACTGACAGGGACACTCATGACTGCTGAATACGCCTTCTGAAATTCTTTCTGACAGTAAGATGTACTTTATGAAAAGATACTTATGTGTATGAAGTGGAGCCTATTTTTCTTTTTATATGAAAGTTAGTAATATAAAATGTAATCAGAATTAGAGTGAATTCTAGCATCTAAGGCATGATAAAAAAGGCAGGAATTTAAGTAAGAAAATGGTCTTAACTGCAAACAGCCAATTTCAGTTTCACCAAATCACGAAGTTCGGTGTATAAGAGATGAGACTGGCAGGCGGTTCAATACCTTTAATCAGTGCCATAAACGTTGAACTGGTTTCTGATTAAGGAACTTTGCAGAATAATTCTGCTAGTTTTTTCTAGTTACAGTTTAACTAAGTTTGTATTAGTTCAGCTTAAATATATGTCATTTTAACAGTGGGGAACAGTGCTTGCTTCACTGGCCCAAAGTACATCTAGGAGCACAGTATGGGCATCAATATGGTTTTTATGCTTAATGCCAGCATGCAGCAACAGATTGAAGAGTGCACCCTACGGCACCCAAAACTAGCCTACAGCTTGTAGCAGAGATTTCACATAGGCAGGGTAGCGTGCCTGAGTTAGGTGTAATCAAACAAGCTAGAAGATAATATTAGCAAAACCAACAGCCCCTGGATTTTGTTGCATTATTTAGACATTCATGAAGTTGGCTGAATCAGAGGATCAATGGATTTTTACCCACAGAGCATTTATTCTGGGCTTGGGTTGAGACAGGTTTGTTTGACTTCTTGCAGGGTCTACCTTTCTTAAACCCGATGAAGATTCCATGATGTTCTGGGATGAACATGGTTGTCTCTACATCTCCCACTACCACAAAGAACAGAAGTCAGAGTATTCCAAGTTAAACACCCAAACAAGCCCCCTTGTGTTTGTACAGAAACTATTTTTGCGCTCAAATTAAACGTCCTTACTCCTAAGTAGGATCTAACTAAAGTGCAGTGCCAGCACACATTCAGGATGGGAACCAACCGCACGTTTGCAGGCTTCGCTTATAGTCACAGGTAGTTAAAACACAGAATTGAGGCCATTGGTGGAGCAAAGCATGGTCATGTTCACAACACGTGAGCGTTGCCTACGCAGTTTCACTGTCTATGGACTTGCAGTGAGGGGCATAAGCTCAGGCCCTGCTCTCTCTATTATGCACCTTAATCAAAACCACTTCAGGGAAATACAGAAGACAATTAAAATGTGAAAGATGCTAGTTTGAAGCATGTGACCTGTCTGACACTTTAATATGTCTCTAGAATAGTAATTTCTGAGAGGAAATACCTATGAGATGTGAAATGGACTCTTGCTGAGGCTGTGCAAAATTTGAGTACTTCAGACAAAACCTGTTTTGGCTGTCAGATGTAGAAATGGCAAGGTAGAAAAATCTCAAAGGAAAAAAAAAATTAATTCTTCTCTATGTTCAAACAAAATAACATCAGCTTAAAAACATTTTCATTTCATTCTAGGCTGAGACAAACTACAGAAAATTCAGCCAGAAAGGGAAGTTTTGCAAAAAGCAAAGGTACAGATACAGCAATTCAGAAGAGAGACAGTTCATCAGGAACTGTTATGTCACACCTTAAAAAAGCTCTACTATAATTCAAGACTATTTTTAAATTATTGTAACTCTAAATTCAAATCAGACCTTATAAGCATAATACTTTATTATTTGTTTGTGAGGTATACTGTATAGACAAAACAAAACAAAACAAAAGATATGGAATATGACAATTATTTTACACACATAACCTCGCATTTACTTTTGCCAGGTCTTCCAGCTACTAAAGTAAATATTCCTACAACTCCCAGTTATAAGAGGGAAAAATCAGCAGGGAATTTTTATGTGCAACAAGACGAGTTGTAAGAAAGAGATATCTTTATTGGTTTGGTGGAAGAACAGCCCTGACACTAATGCCACCAGAAGAATATTACAGGGAACAATTATTAATTTACTTTTTATTGCATTATTATTGCATGTAAATGCTACTGTTATTGCTTCATCGCCCAGCTTTATTGCGTACAATGAATCAAAGCATTACGAAATGCCACACAGCATAGAAAGTGTGCTGTATTAAAATAATGGTTTCAGCAATGTACAATATGTATTCTGAGATGTTATAAATACTCTATCAATTTTTTATTCCCCACTGTAGTTTATTGCAACATAAAAGTGTGATAAAATTAGCTGACAGAGGTCTATGTTAAAATACGCTGACAATTTTTTGGAGGAGTTTTCATAGTTAGTGTGAAAAAATAAACACCTTCAAGGCAATAAAAAGTATTATGGTAAAACTTCCCTTCAGTGTGAAAAATACTGACAACGTTCTTTTCTTACCCAGATATGAAAGGAAAAAGGGATGAAGCTTTGGCTACTTATACCAAGTGGCATTCTTTAAAATTTCATTAGCTCTTGGGCAACTGAATACATCTATTAAATGAACAGTGATTGCACCATTGATAATCATCTTTGCATCATAAGCACCACATTTTAACTTGTTGCTGCTAATGTTTAGTTCTCTATGAACTGAAAAGATCACCAAACTCTACCTCCATCACTACAAAGCATGTAATGAAAACCTGAATTGGCTTCTACACTAAAACTGGCAAATATCAGTGGTTCTGCAGTGTACCTCATTACTCTAGGTGTAACTGAAAAGACTAACTGCACAAGATTATGAAAAGAGCTTTCAAGTGAGGACACGAATAGCTTCAGATTTCCTTGCTAAAGCATAGCCCCAAAAATTTCAGAGGCGTGAGGAAAACACTGGCTAAAAGTCTGTTTAAATTATGTTCAAAACCACAAATATGAGAAGTATTCTCAGCTTGCTTTTCCCAGACAAATTGTGAATAAACACACTTTCCTCAGTTGAGGAAGTATGTTAGCAGCAAATAGGCTTTCCATTGGTTTCCTCACTTATTTCATTATTTGTACTACAAATACTTTTTTCTCTCTGTCTCCACACTGCCTACACTGGCTCTTTGAAAAAAAATGATTTCAATATTTATTCCTTTCACTATTGCTTCGCTGCTCTACTAAGTAACTTCACAGTTTGATACTCAATATTCACGAAAGGGAGCTAAACGAGCAAACAAACGTCACTAACTGGTTCTGCACCAGACGAACTTTTCGGTACATCACTTACCACCCACGGTTTGTCACAGAAGTTATAGACTGATTCCAGGGAGTTGACGCTAGGGATGCCTGCATACTGCATCCCGATGATCAAGTTACGGAAATCTTCATTTTCTGCCATACTGAATGAATGTTGTCGAACAAGGACAAAATCAGGCCTGAATGACCTAGCAAGAAAAAGATACATTGCTAACAGTCAGTGATCAAATTGTTTTTCCTTTAACAGCAAAATCTTACAAGGGAAAAGCGTCTAGCTGATGGATAGAGAAGTACTAAAAGAACACTCAACACAAAGGCAAATGCTACAAGACCGAATGAATTAATATGGCACTATGAAAATCAATACTGTGTTACTACTTAACCGCTGTTCAGAAAACATCACCATCCAGTCAATAATGTGACTCCATTAAGAGGAGGGACAAATTATCATGGCTTTTCAGGTTGTTTTCCCACTGAAAGATGTCATATATAAAAATTCCGAGTATGTTCTTAGTTTAGGTACACCAGCTCCTGAGCAATGACAATCAAAACCAAGGCAGGCAAATGTCTCTGCCAGAAGCTTAAGCTTCTTGGGAACAATTTTTTTTTCCCCCCACAACTATCATCAGACTGTTTTAAAGACAGTAAGAGATGAAGCAACCCTACTACTCGCAAAAGGAGTCATAATTTGACATAACCACAATTAAACCTTCGATCAAGACACTTGTCAAAATGAATTTCTAAACTTACAACTGCACTTTTTTTTCCCTCTTTCTCTCCTCTATCTAATCAGGATTTCCCCTGTTGCAACCTCTGTGGCTTCTTGTCCTATCACCGTGCACCTTTGAGAACAGTCTGACACCATCTTCATCCTACTCAAACCCTGACATTTAGTTACTGAGGAAGGGTATGGAAAACAGAAGGCACAACGCAACAGGACAGAGCCACCAGTACAGGGGCAATTTGCTCCTAAACTTGACTGTTGAAAGATTCTCCTCCCTATTCAAATTTTATAGGTGGAAACAACACTGACTAGCTTGAAGCTATCAACCTCCTGAAAGAGGTAGAACTGCAGGGTAAATTGAATTAGTATAGTAGATTACTGTGATTATCTACATGCCTTGAATAAATATAAGCTGTATACTGGAGTGAAAAATTCCAAAGATTACAAAATGATTCAGAAATCTCACAGTAGTGGAAAAAAACCAAACCAAAATGATTAAAATTCATGTTAGAATTGTTTAAGCAGTTTTGAGATTCCAGCCTGAAAGCAGTAGTCAAAGTATATCACCTGGATTCTTAAGTTGGCTTTCAAATGTAATGCATGATTTGGCAAAAGCAACATTAAAAAGATTTGCTGTCAAGAGTCATTAAAATGGCCCTGTACACTGATGACCAAAACTTGTAAAAAAATGCTTGCCTTTAACAAGTTTAAAAAAAAATAAAACTGTAGCATAGTTCCGAGGATTTGTGATCTAGGTTTCATGGTGGTGTGCCAAGTCTTCGAAACAAGGAAATTCAACTTACTGGCACGGCATGAGTATAATACTTAGAGGATTAATGATGCCTTCATCAAAATTGCAGACCGCTCAGAGAAAGAAGGAGACCCTCTCTATCGTTTAAAATAGTGCTAAGGGGATTACACATCATCTCGAACACAGCACTGTGTTTTCAAATAAAGGTAAAGAACAAAAAGGGTCTTTTAAAACACCGATTCAATGAAGCAATTGGGGAATTGAGGAATGTATTTAAAAAAAAAAATTACATATTTTGCTTTGCAAAGACTCCTCAAAGGGACATGATACATTTACATAATTGTTCCAGCTCTGCAATTGCCGCTGGACCGAATGACTGCGTATACAAAAGAAGGTCATGAGAAAAATTTTAATCCTGGCTCAAGCATTTTTAAGATCTAAAATCTCAGCATTATGCAACACGAGATATCATTTTTCATGGTTTGATTTTCATTCACAAAAATGCAACAAGCAGGTGCCTGTTACACAATTTTTTCCTCCGAAATTAAGGCAGCAAAATTTTGTCATTGAAATTTCCATTATTTTACTAACTAATATTTTGCTCATTAATCGATGACACAAGGTCACTTTTGACCTCACGTTAATAACACATAAGAGTTTTCACCTCAGTATTCAAGCCTTTTTAGCAATATGCTCATAGTCCATATTCAATACGAACTTTGATGGTAGTGGGACCAGCAGTTTCTGCCATCTCTCTTGATAGTTGAGACAGAGAGAAACAAAGCAACATGCCACACAGCCTATTGTGTGACCCATATTTAACACTGGATTTCAAATGAAGTTTCTTATCAACTGAAAATGTGAAGTAATACCCATCACTCTCTCTGCACCCCTTAGGGAGACAAGAAGCACATTCCAAGCATCAACAAACGTCACAAACCGACCAGGCTTAAAGCAACATAAAGACTGGCACTCATCTGAAAATATAGGACATACAGAAAATATTTTTGCTTTTCAAAAATACTCTATCTCCGGATAGGTTATCATAGAACAGAGAGCTGCTGTCCCATCATGTCTCCATGTCCCTCTCACACCGGAAAGCATGCACACATATGCAGGTATCTCACACAGATTTGAGTGGAATTTATCATCTTCCATTTGGTTAAATAAATTACCCATAAAGCTGGTAATACTATAAAATCCTTTACCATCTCATTATCAGAGTTATCTGATGACACAACAAAATTTCTCTGTTTCTTAGCATAAGCAGCAGTTTTACCAAGTTTTCTCATAAACTGCAAATACACATCCTTGTAGATGCTGTTTTCTGGAGGTTCCCCACTCACATTAAATATTGACATGTTTTGATGCTAACTTGGCCTCGATATTTTTGTTCCGTTTGGAAAATTCTCCTCAGAAAAGCCACTAAGGAGCAGTGATCAAGATTTCCTGGCTCCAAAACTTCTGTCGTTGGGGAAAAAAACCCCAAAACCTAAAAAAAATCAAATCTCTCACTCTTCTAAGGAAATAATCTTGTGGATTTGGCAGAAGTGGTTTTTGTATTAAGCTGCAGTATTTTTAGAACACACAAGAGATTAAACAGTTGTGAGTTTTAAAGCATAAAGTACACTTATTTTCAGTATTTTTTTTTTTCCTCTGATTTTTATTTTTTACATGAATGAGTAGAAATTTTCAAATCTTTTATTTGGACAGATCTTGTACAAAATACGAAGATACAAGACATGCTGTATGCTGTCCAGCTCCCTGAACTCTTACTCTTGCCTAAAGATAAACATAAGCAGTAAACGACCAGCCCACCACTAGTGGCTTGATCTACCTTTCTGAATGCAATTGTTCAGCCAAACAACTCCTACACTTAACTCATATGCAACTGCACTGGCCAAAATAGGAGTAATTCCCACAATTTAGATAAAATATAGGAGCGCCTGAAATAATTTTGCTAATACTTAAGCTTTTACTTTGCCCAGCCATACCCCCGTTTTCCCCCCTTACGTTTATAGGGCTGTTGACATTCTCACTGAAAAAAAATGGTAAAATCACCCTGCCTTCAATTGGAATAACCCTTTTTGGACAAAACAGCCTATTGGGAAATCTCAGGCTTTTAAATTGAAATCTTTCAAACAGACAGTGATATTCCAGTAACTATCCTGAGAGAAGTGCTGTGACTTGGCCTGTTTCAGTTGAAAATATTCAACACTGGATATAAATACTGCTCATCTGGAGAGGTCTGGCAAGTAGAAAATCACTAAGACTCTCTTCATTTCTGAAGCAAAGATAAGACCCAAATCCATAACCCTAACTCCTAATCATGTGTTCTTCATACCAGACGTCATTCCCATCTTAATCAAATCCATCTTTCATGGGATCAAAATATCAAGATATTTCCTTCCTGTCACAAACAGGACTTACTGCACTGATCAGGTACTTTATTTCCTACTCTTCATGCCAATGACCAAGGTATGTTGTATCAGTCAAAATCCCTATCGCAGAGATACAAAAAAATCATTCAGTACCTTTTACATGCATACATTATGGAATTTATTGCTTTTTGCTGTTATTCATTTAGTTTTTCTTACCTGACAACTTTAGTGCCATTTCGAAATACTTGGATATCTACCGCATAATTGCCATCAGCATGGGCTATCAAGTTGATTTCTGAAAATTCTGCCTATGAAAAGAAGACTCATATTAGTCTGTCTGGTTTATTTTACCTTTATTTTCCTAAATCCCTTCTTTTAAGTATTATTATCTGAACTGCTGACAATATACATTTGGAATATAATGAGCACTAAGAGGATATTAATCCAACAGTATTTGACACATCACATTTGAATAACTCATAATGCAGAGAAAGCAAAAAGCAAAAAACTTTATGAAAAAGGAATGTGAGGCATTAGCAAGTGTATTTCCTCATTCATGTCTGCATAAAAATGCAGAGATTATATTTTCGCTTTGTATGATGTTATCAAAGAGGTTTATACAGATTCCACAAACATTTACATAATGTTTTGAAGTAAACAGAACAAAAGCAATTTTAAAATAACTATGATAAATAGAATATTTTCTTATAGCATCTAATGTCTCTTCATATACTTTACCCCCTTCTATTTCCTTTATGTGCGTTTACCCTTGTTTTTAAAAGATCTGGTGCTATTGAACAATTGGCTTGCAAAATTCACAAATAAAGACCTTTTTCAAAGTATCTTCTCACACTGGAAATGTGGAATTTAAAAGGAATCACTTCCATACTCTGAATCTACAGTTATCTGAAAGGAAAGGACAGGATGTTTTTCATTTATCCACAGTCTTTCATCAGCTTAGACTCTCAAGGCACTTTACAATAACATTACAGAGCAGAATAATTGAAATGCAGCCAACTGTCTTCCAGTGGATAAATAAAAGTGTCTTTGCTATCCCAGACACTAATACAGAATAGAGAGTGTCAGAATTCTCATTAGTCTCCTCTTGAAAAATGGTATCACTGAAAGCCTCCCTAAGTAAAATCTGTGTAAGGCTTTCAGAATTTAGTGTTCAGTTAAGGCAAGTGTTGACTAACCACCATTCCAACTCAATCGCTTAAGTATGTGCTTGATTTCAGGCATGGACGTCTCTTCATTAAATTCCATATGCTTATATGCTTTCTTGGATCAGTGTTACAATGTTCTAAACAAAAGGGGAAGAGTTTTAAGATTACTGTAAAAACAGGGCAAATGGTGAGAGATTGAAATATTTGTGTAGGTGCTGACAATGTTAAAGAACCATTTAAAAATCTATTTAATTTGAGATTGACAACCGATCTCTCTAATCAATAAATCATGTTAAACAATTACAAGGAGTCACAATATATATTTTGTAGTTTAAAAACCTAGTACATGATAGAAAACATTTTACGTTCTAGGTTGCTGTAAGTAGTATAAAAATAAAATAATGCTCTCTAGTATTAGTAAAAGAACACTAAAGTAGGTATTAGTAACTCTGTGTACGATTGTCACAGTGTTGACATGTTACAAAGCGATTAGCAGGGTTCAGAAGCTTTCAATCTCTTACTCATTAAAGGTGGTTCTGGTCCTACAAGAGACCATATGAAGAGAATTCGACACTTACACAGTTTTTGTTAGTATTAAAGAGACAGTGTGCATGATGTCAACTGCATGGCCTGATCTAGGTGTAAATGGTATTTTGGGACAAAATAGCTTGTCTTCTTTTTCCTGTCTCGCCCTCAATACTCTTGAAGATCCCTGGCAAAGCTTTCCGTGTTTCCAAGCCAAGAACATCAGCAGCTAGTCAATGGTGTAAAGAATGGAGCAAAGCTAGATGCTGTACTATTACAGTGAATTTAGATAAGTTGAATCCACACAGCTAGTGATAATTTTCCCCTCACTCTCTGAAATTCCAATGACAAAAGCATTCACTTTAAGTACTGAAGCTTATTACAGTAGCATCTGTATTCGCAGAATTCAAGATTGAGAAGCAATGAAAAGACTTATTTACTTCCCTACCTTCAGATACCTAGCTCAAATAAAATAGCCACAATTCTAATGCACCTTGAATTGTATCTCCCTATTTATTCAGTGCTTTTTTTCAAAAACCCTCATGCCAGCACTGCAACCAGTGTGCATGTATATTCTTAAGTGAAGGAATTAGTGGTACAGAAATGCAACATGGAATGTCTGGGAAATTCAGTCTCTAAGCAACAACTTTTGAATATGACTATGTTTTTAATGTTGTGCAAATTATGGTCAGAAATTTCTAAAAAGAGCCATGCTAGAATGAAACATAATTAAATCCTTGAGTGTTCTACTTAACTTGTGAGGTTTGTTCGTAGTACAAAGGACTATGTGTCTATCTATACATCTATGCATATAGAATCACAGAATCATTTAGGTTGGAGAAGACCCTTAAGATCATAGAGTCCAACTGTTAACCTAAACACTGCCAAGTTCACCACTAAACCATGTCCCCTAAGCATCACGTCTACACATCTCTTAAATACCTCCAGGCAGGTATGTACTTACACCTGTATGTATATGTTTGTATAAATACAGAAATATAAAAATAACATTCAGATGAAGTTATTCATTTACCTGTTCAACCTTTATGTCATATTCTCCATGGACCTTTTTTCCACGAAAAGCCTTCGCCCTGCAGGAAAAAAGGGACAGAGAAAATCAAGGATCTATGTATCTGTAACCAGTAGCTACATAAAAGCTTCCTGTATGGCCTTCAGTGTCTTGAAAATACACATACATATTAATTCAAGCTATCTACTACCCATACACAATCCTCCTTCCTTTGACGTTCTTGTATCCTTAACATACCATCACGCAATATTTTGTGATAAAAAGCATACATAATGTGATTGTCAACATTAAAGTGTATATTAAAAGTATACTGAAATACATAGTTCACAATTAATTATGAATATAAAATAAGTACCACTAAAAAGATGCAATCTTGCTCTCATTAGTCAACAATGCCAGTGGAAATTCATTTCAATGTGAACAACATCCCAACAACCACTCGTGTTAAATCTTTACCTGCGTATCTTATTTAGAAAAACTGGTATATTGGAAACTCTACACTTGAAAACTTGCTATTGCTTTTCAAGAACGTATCAGAGGTACTGGAGACTGTTGTCACCAAATTTATGAGTGCCTGATTTACTTATCAGTTTTGCTTTTTCTAGACTATAACCTGAGACAATGTAATTAATCTGAAGGAGAGTTTATGATTATGCATCAAGATTGCTGTGACAAAACAGAACTGAATTCCATGATCCAGTATCCCAGACCTAACAAGCAGACATTCTTCTAGGAGTCTGTCACTTGTATGCCTTGGGCAGCATGTATCTGCTTTGGAGAAAACGGGAATTTAAAAAAAAATAAAACCTGTTGATAAAAGGGAACTACTTTAGCACTCTGAACTTGGAAAAGGGATATGGCATCAGTCTGTCTCTGCACCACCTTTGCTCAAGCCAAAGCTCAGAGTATCTTTCCCATGTTTATTATATGCAAGCAAAAATCTGTTGCACAATCCAAAAAACCAGCACCACAAGATGTTCTGACATCTTCTCAAGTGTTTAAAAAAAAAAAAGTAACTTTGTCCATTTTTCCATTTTCAACATCTGACAAAATGCTATTATATTAAACTCAATCTACCTCATCAGTGAAAGTAATGTAAACTACATATTAAAACAATTCATTATTGCTTTTCCCACTGAGGTCCAGAAGAGTTTCACCATTGGTTTCAGCAGTGGAAGAACCAAACTTCATAATAATTACTGGAAAACGCCAGCTTTGGCAACATAGTACTTAAGGCTGCCGTAGGTGTTATGGATGGTAGAAAGCAAAGAAAGTGTTTCTACTGAAGTGGCATACGAAAATATTGCCCAACAATTAATTCTGTATGAATATGCAATTTGTAAGAAGGTAACAATAAAGCAAGCATTTGCATTACTGGTTTATACTGTTTTCCTGTACTAAATACACATGAAATATGAAGCTTGAAAACCATCATTTTATTATAGGAGGTGCACGCTCAGCATACTGTCATCAAATATTTTTGCTAATAACAAAAGTAGTAGTTAAATACACTGTACCACAAGTCTAACTTAAAGAACTATTACTCAACACTTATTTTTTGTTCCAAATTTGTTCTGAAATTCCACACGGGGAATATGAAAATTACCTCTTGACACCTTTGGAGATGTCTGGACATGGCTTCGGTTTTATAATGCTGTTTATATTGAAGCACCAGCTGGAACATGTTAATCTAATAGGTGCAGGAAAACCAAGGACATCTGTATTACCGTGGGAGAAGTCCGCAAAGCCAGACCAGAGAGGAAGGTATCATGTTCAAAGATAACACCACATTTGCCTCAGGGGAAAAGCAACCAATTCATAAACAACAGACAACTTCAATGTCTTAGTCGAAAAACTGCCATTTACCACTTTGAAAAATATTTAAAACTCCAATTCTGATCCCCGTGAGCGCTAAATCCATTGTACATATCGGAATGTGCTCAAAACATTAGTTTATTATTAATTAGTGAGATGCTATTCCTTTAAATTGAGTCTTTCTACTTAAACACCATTTGGATGAGGCAACCTTTAAACAACTAAACTCTGGCATGATTCACATTTCAACAAATGACTTCAGCTTTGAAAATAAACAGTAATAGTAAGCACTGAAGTTAAGCAATCTGGGGCTTGAAAACAAACGTGCCATTTAACCATTTAAAGAGACTTCATTTCAAAAGTAGCTTTAACCAAAAACTTTTATAAAAATTGGAGAATATTACTGAATATTATACAATGTTGAGAAACAAACTACAAGAATTTATCTTCGTATCTCTAAAAAAATACTTAAAACAAAAAGTAATCACTCAGTCATTTCAGAACAAACTCCAATAAATTTTTAGCATGAGTTCGCTGTGAAGTAGAACCTAGTGTTCATTTAATTTACTCTACTTAGGAAACACAGTCATGCCCTCCTTGAATTATTCCCTATTTGCAATACGAAAAATGTGCGATCCTAACAGAAAGACATTTATTACATGCTTAAATTTTGATTTTTTTTTTTTTTTAACCGAGGGAAGGTGGGGAACAGAATTCTTTGGTGTTATTGATTTACAATTTCACCGAACTGTAGTTCGAAATCCATGTTACGCCTCTTAGTACTGAGCATGGAATACCTATCAACCCTCGGAGCACCGCTGTAGAAAGGAAGTAATGCTTTCAAGGTCAGGATCAAGGTAAGGCATTTGAGAAGAGTGTGAGGTTAGCTGTCAGCATGAGTACATTAACCAAACAAACTCGCCCCAATTCAAGTAATGTTTGGCTGCCCGTTGTTGATGTTTTCTTGCTTTGTGTGTAGGAAAGAGAAAGAAAGAAACTGGTACCATTATTCATCCGAAACTCACTGTGTAAAACAGTTGCTTTCCAAAGCCTAAACGTAGAGAAAAAGGACAGCTACTAATATGAATGCTGCCTACTGGAGTTACTAGTGTGACCTCTTATAGTCAGAATCTTTTCGAAATGTGTGAAATATTTAGGCACTTCTTGCTTCATGATTAATTTTCTGGATAAAAATCTTGCACGTTTAAAATTAAACAACTATGTAATGTACAGTTGCCATAGATGCAGCCTAATACAAACTCATACTACTTACTGAACTTTGGCAAGGACAGTGAATAAGGTGGCAATCGTTAAAAATGTTAGAAATATATCCAAAAGAACCAAAATATTTCCCTCAAACTACAGGGCATCTACACACATTTCCACAGCATCTGACTATGCTGCGAAACCAATGTGGTTTCATTTCATAGAAATGAATTAAATATTAAAACTGGCGCTACTTTCAACTGGCAACAAAATCAACAGGAAAACCATTTGCTAACATGTAACGGGTTTATACTTCTTCAATTTACATTCTTTTAACACCGCAAGGCGGAGCTTATCAGCGACAGTCTTTATTAAATTCAAAAGCACGTATCCAGCAAATATGTGGGGTCCAGTCCTGCAGACCACTGCTCATGTGTGCAAGCCTCCCATTTTCAGAGCATTCATACCCTTCAACACCCCAGTCTGCACTTGTCATCTCAGTGCACCACTTGCAGTCTGATTCCTGTGCAAATAACACAATGCGCACAGGAATTGGTTCCACGTGGACACTGATTTCTGGGCATGTCTGAACAGGGAACTAATTCCTGATGCTGTCAATAAGAAGATTATATGCTCAAAAATAATTATAGTGCCAGTACTACAACAGGGCAAAAGTCATCATTTAGAACAGTAGCACCCTCTAGAGTACACAAATTGCAGACTGTCAACATTTCTAAACAGCTAGCACAATTTAATTCAAGGTAATGCATGTGTGTGTGTGTGTGTATAGATGTACACAATATTCCCAAGTAACTGGTTGACTGGAATTATCATCTGCATGTAAACATTTTGGCAGACTACCGACACAGAACCAGCCAGACTACCACGAACCTAGAAAGTGTGGTACGCTAGCCTCAGTGACGGAACAGAAAATGCTGAACAGAAAGCAAGCCTTCAAGCTCAAATCTGTTTAGAAATAACTGACTACTTAATTTAATTTGAAATTAAAAACAGCAACAAACCAAACCCAAACTAGATTTAGCCTCAAAGTTTTTGTACCAGAAAAACTATGGTTTGTACATGCTACTCTAATTTCATGCTGTACCAGGAATAGTCACTCCACCTCCAGCACTCAGTACTTTCTACTAATTTAATGGAAATATGGCTGTGTCTAAGATGTCATCAGCATCCCATTTGTACTGCTAGCTGATCCAGTAAGACAGAGTGCTAAAAAATAAGGAACACTGACATAATCATAGAATCATAAAATACCTCAAGTTGGAAGGGACCCATGAGGGTCATCAAGTCCAACTCCCTGCTCCTTGCAGGACTACCTAAAACGAAACCATATGACTAAGAGCATCGTCCAGATGCTCCTTAAACTCTGACAGGCTTGGTGCTGTGATCTTTTCCCCAGGGAGACTGCGGCAGTGACCAACAACCTTCTCCGTGAAGAACCTTCTTCTAATTTCCAATCTGAACCTCCCCTGAAGCAGCTTCATCCACTCATGTCCTATCACTGGTCACCAGAGAGAGATCGGCACCTCCCCCTCCACTGCCCCCCTTGAGGAAGGTGTAGACCATGACGAGGTCACCCCTCAGCCTCCTCCAAGCTGAACAAACCAGAGGACCTCAGCTGCTCCTCATCTTGGTCGCCCTCCTCTGGACACACTCTAATAGTTTGATGTCCTTCTTCTATTGAGGTGCCCCAAACCTCACACAGTACTCGAGGTGGGACCGCACCAGTGTGGCGTAGAGTGGGATGATCACCTCCCTCAACCGGCTAGCGACGCTGTGCTTGATGCACCCCAGCACACGGTCAGCCCTTTTGGCTGCCAGGCCACACTGATGACTCATATTCACCTTGCCGTCAACCCAAACCCCCACATCTCTTTCCGCGGGGCTGCTCTCCAGCCTCTTGTCCCCCAGTTTGCATGTAGAACCAGGATTACCCCGTCCCAGGTGGAGAATCTGGCACTTGCTCTTGTTAAATTTCATACATAATACATTTGGTAATCTTGTCTACTGTTCCATGAAAAAGTATTGAACAGTCTAATGAAATTATACTTATTAGAATTCACATTTCAGCGATATAATCTAGACACATTCTAAGTACACGGTGTTTAAGAAGCAGTTTTGTATATTCATATTTGTTTTCAATGTGAAATCAAAAGAATCTGCCAAGGAAATAACGGCTTAAAAACATGATCGCATACGTATCGTGAAGCTGCAATAAAGGATCATTTAAAGGAGTAAGACTATTACTTCTTCCACATGCTGAGGACTTTCTAGACTGTTATGCAGACTTTGTAAATATATGAAAACCATAAGAAATTGTTATCAAAAGTAAGCATATGATAAAATGAAAATACTACGGAAATCTTATGTGACCTAATACACAACCTACTGCAACAGGGGGAATCTCGCTATCAACATCAATGGGCTCTGCAACTGTTTGATAGTATCACCATTTGCTATACTGACAAACCAGCCTAGCTAATAAAACTCATCATTTGGAACTGCTGTGATGATGCTACCATGCCTAAATAGAAGAATTTATTAAGAATATGTAAACACACTGTTTGCAGACTTTCTTTTATTTACTTGTTCCACCTTTCTGCAACAAGAGACTGATAATTACACAAAAATAAAATATCCTATTTAAAACCTGACTCAAAGACCATGACAGTCTTAAATGTGTTACTCAGATTCTGCAAAGACCTATTTGGATTTATAACATGGGTTTTTTTCCCTTCTGCACTGTAAAAGTTATACTTTTGGCACTTAACCTAACCAGTATTTTACCCTTACATAAAGCAGTTGTGTTTTCTCAAGCTATTACTTCATACAGAAATTGTCTTAAAAGAAGCAGGCCATCACCGCAAAGTAAGCGATGGAACATATCAAATGCATGACTTTTAGTTTTAGTAGTGCTCCCAGTTGAGTTGGATTTCATTACATTAATGATAATCTCCATTACCAGGAGCCTGTAAATTTGAACAGCAGATTTTATCAGCTCTGAAATAGCACAGCTTATTTTAACAGGTTTCATAGCTCACATTTGTAACAGGCCAGTTAAGTTTTGCTGTTAATCACTTGGTTTGATGAAACGTCAAATTCAGTGGAACCGCTGTAATGGCAAGGATGCACGGATGGCTCTTTCCAGTTTTTCAGTGTGATCTGACAATCCACAGAAGCCCTAACTGAAACTTCATTGATTTCATAAACACGCTTTTTTTTCCAGTATGACAGGCAGGACACAATTAATGCAGTTCTTTAAGTCATAGTTGAGCCTTTTGAAGGGGAAAACACACCGTTCTCATAAAAAAACCCCAGTGTCAACTTCTGCCAATAAGGTAACATATAACAACTGCATTTTAGCATATTTTTTAATCTATCGAGGTCACGATAGAAATGATTTCTGAACATTTTCTTCTGTGCTCAATGGCACAACATGGTCATATCTTTTTGGATATCATACAGTTTCCACTGGTACCATATCTCTTGGCCTTCACCACGTATCTTTACCTGAAACCACTGTATCTACTACTACTATACCCATCTTGTCAATCGTAACACATGGGAAGAGAATGACTAGGAACAGAACCAAGCACTTATGGCCCTAGTGTATATTAGCACATGATGGAGTCATCCCAGATGGCCCAGTGTTGGAACCTATGACATGGTTAATTCTACCAAGCTAACAGGATTTCTTCATTGCTTATCTGCCCACTTATATTGATGATCATGAAAGCACCCAAGCAGCTCAAACTTAACAGCGCAGTAGAAAATGTCTGTAGGAAACAATTCTCCTCCGGTCCACGGCTTTCCTTCCCTGACTTCTGTAACTTGGAGCAAAGAACTTTGTTAAATACATGCTTAAAAACCAGAGCTCCTGTGTGCAGCCTTTCCTCTCCAGAGGCACTGAACCGTCATACCCTTCCCCATTCCCTTTACTGATGATGGCTGAACTCAAGAAAAAGCAGAAAGTAAACATTTTTCAGTGGAGGATTTTCCTGAGCAGACAGTAAAGAAGTTGCCCAAAGAGATTCACCTCTAAAAGCATATTAAAAAAGAAAGCATAAACAATCTAGAAATAAAGAATGCAAGCTTATTACGCAGCAATCAGTCCATTTCCCTTTCTGTGGTGTACATCCCCCTTGCCATAAAGGGGTTTTTTTTCAAAACAGCTTTATATGTGGCACCTTCAGAGGCTTCCACTATCTCTGATTCAATCTCATTTTTTTTCTCCTATTTATTACCAGCCTTTTTTTAACTAAACGAAATATCCTATCCCCTTGTCACATACCAGTTGTGATCTCCTTTAGTCTGATTATTTAAACAAAACTAAGCCATTTTATTCTTTCACAGCACAGATCTTTCAGCCCAAAACCATCTTTGTTGTTTTAATCAGGAGCCCTTCTATTTGTCACTCTGTTCTATGCCTGAATACAGTGTTTTCACTAGAGACTTAATCAAGAAGAAAATGCCTCCTATTCTTGAATCTCTCATTTGAGCTTAAATTTTCTGGTCTTTTGAATGGCATGGTTTACTGAAAATGCCTAATTTTCCACCCTCTCAAGGTAAAACAAGTACTCTTTTCATGACCAAATGCTAGTCTGTCTTCCTGGTAATGTCTCAAAATCCCACACCTCCGATTATGTAATATTTACCATTAGCCCATTACTCCTGTGCAAGATTTATAGTCACAATGTAACTTCTGTGGACTTTTTTTTCTTTTTTAATTAGATGACGTATGAAAGTATTTTTAAATGTTCATTCCCTCATCACTAGAAGACCTCATATGTGATGCAACATATTATAACCTTTTCCAAATCTGTTAGACTCATTAGAACAACTGCTACACTTTCCCATGGCTAAGTTCATAAAAATATTTTGTACTCATGAGATGAACAGAAAGTCCCAACTTTTTTTACAGGAAAACACCACTATCCAAATAACAAAATATTGCAGTTCTAAATGCTGATGAAGGTTTTAACGGTTCTTAGTGCTCAAACTGCATATTCTGCACCAGTTGCTGTAAGTTCCTTAACCCCATCTACTATAGCCAATGTAATAATATTGCAGGCTAAAGTGACAAAGTTAAATTTGTCATTTCCAAGTCTCCCTCCCAACTAAGAAGTCCATTCTTTCCAACTTTTCATTCTGTTGACAACAAAGATAAAGTAGTACAAACTGTTCAGGAGCAATTCTACTGTTTAGAAAAAGTAAATTATCTTGAATCTCTAAATTATCTTGAATAAGTGACAAAAGATATCACACAATGCAGCCACTGGTGACTGGTTTATGACAGGAAGAAACCAAACCAGCTAGAAATAGCATCTAGGGGTATTTTAGTTTACTTATTTCCTACTGAGGTAAAGAAAACAAAGTGAGCCTAAAAGACTTTACACTAAGAGAAGGTAATTTCTGACATCTGAAACACCATAAAAGCCAGCATGGAGTAAAAGAATCTTTGAGACTGAGTCCACATTATCCATAAATTCTTCATCAAAAAATTATGTGCCTTTTAATTTTTCTATTTATACTGAATTCTCTAAGGTGCTTTAAACACCTCTGAGCAAGATATGTGACTCTAAGAGGTGAGAAAATTTGAATCATTTATGCCTGGAGACATTACAAGGTGATACTTCATATATAACGCGTTGGGCTATCATGTTGTTTGAATTTTCACCTTTCAAGATCCTGCACTTAATATAGAAACTGTATCTTAAAAATCTCTCCAGCTAGTTCCCCTCTGCGCTCATCCTATAGATGAGACTCTGAACAAACTAGTCCACATGAGATAAGAACGAGGGGGACGCGTGCAAAAGTCATGCATGTCTGGAGAGACAGTGCACACCCCTTCAGCCACAGCTTGTCGTTAAACCAGATTTAGTACAACATCAAACCTTCAGTCTTCATATCAAACTTTACATCTTCAGTCCCACAGAGGGCCGAGACCCAGGGGAAACATGGAGTAATGGGAGAAGACAGGATTACACAAGTGCCAGAATATCTTATTAGAGATATACACATATATATACACACACACACATAGACACCCAAACCCACACTCAATCAAAAGAGTGGCCTTTGCAGAGTGGCAGTGATGGTACAGGCAAGTCTGGGTATTTTTTTTTTCCAGCTGGACCCCCACAAGCATTTCACACCCTTGCAGCAATACGTCTGTGGCCCCACCAATACTGAACTAGATTTAAATGAGTGAAGGATAAAACCACTTTTGGCAGATCAGCAATTGCTTTGATCTTTGGCTCAGAGATCCCTTCACCTCCAT